CCTCCCAGGGCTGTCATTAGGATCAAAAGAAATAATGCATGTAAAGGTCTCTGTAAACCTTCAAGCACTGCTTGATTGTCAGGTTTTTTTTTTTTTATCTTAAGTTCCAGTCTAGAAAATGGTAAGACTTACTAAATAAGGAGTGGCTTCTATTCCCTCATTTTCACTGTATGGTCATCTCCCAGAGCTGAGCAGAAGCTTCACAGATTATAGGATGATAAGATTAAAGATTTAGAGTCGGAGGAGATGTAGGTGGTCATCTAGGACATTTTACAGATGGGGAAACTGAGGTCCAGAAAGATGAAGTTCAATCTGAAAGCAGATCAACTGACTCTAAATCCAGAATCCTTTTTCACTGGATGTATCCCAGCATGCCAGAAAAATTTATTTCCTAACAGGGGTGTAGGGAACCTGCAGCCTTGAAGCTAGCTGTGGCCCTCTAAGTCCTCAAGTGCAGCCCTTTGATCAAATCCAAATTTCACTTTTATTAAGGGGATTTGTTCTGTGAAGTTTGGATTCAGTCAAAAGGCCACACTTGAGGACCTTAAGTGCTATGGGTGGCCTCGAGGTTGCAGGTTCCCCACCCTTGTTAGACAAAAGAAGATGACTTTCAGGGTGTCAAAAAATTACCTATTAGATCACAGAAGGGCAATTTATCATAGCCAGCCTAGTCCAAAGGCATTAACTCAGGAGCAAGGCAGTGGTTCGGTAAAGATAGCCATCACAACAAGGCCAGCCAGAGACATTCTTTAGGTTAGTAATAATGAAGGGATCCTCTGGGCCATCAGAACTTGTCAGACCAATATAACCAAATTGTTAGTCAAGCCAAGAGTCCAATAAACACAACAAAAGAAGATCAAGGTGGAGTAGCAGCAGAAATCAAAGTGATAAAATCATGCATTAATCCCCTATATCCCTGCTCTCCTTTAGATCACACACACCCCCTTCCAGGAATCTCATGCTCCCACACTGGCCTGAAAGCCAACACAGCTATGCTTGACCTAGTCTAGTATTTGTAGTTCTCTGCTAAGTGTTGTTTTTTTGTTCTAGACTGTAAGAAAGCATGAACCATAGGATAGCATATCCTTGCCCCTTTGTATTTCTTTGCTATTATTTCAAGATCATTCTGAACCTTCCAATGATTGAAAATTGCAAACAGCAATTGAGAAAAGCATTAGATAAACACCCCATTGAATCACTGCCTTGTCATGATGGAGGGGCTTGTATAGAGCAATAAAACTGTGAGCTATACTATGCAGGGTTACCCAAGACAAACAAGTCATAGTGGAGAGTTCTGACAAAAGGTGACCCACTGGAGATGAAAATGGCAGAATCTTTGTCAAGAAAACCCAATGGACAATATTAAAATGATAAAGAGATGACTCCAACATGCTACTGGGAAGTACAAGTAGCTCCAGAACTAATAAAGTGACTAAGCCAAGGCCAAAAGGAAGGTTAGCTGTGAATGCATCTCATGAAAAAGGAAAGTCCAATGCTGTAATGATCAATATAGCATAGGAACCTAGAACATAAGATCTATGAACCAAGGCAAGCTGGATGTAGCCAAACAGGAGATGGAAAGATGAAACATCAATGTCTTGGTTATCAGTGGACTTAAATGGATGGAAATGGGGTATATTCAATTCAGGTGATCACTACATATACTACTGTGGGCAAAAATCCATTGGAAGAAATGGAGTAGCCCTTATAGTCAATAAAAGGGTAAGAAAAGCAATGCTGGGGTATAATCTCAAAAATGACAAAATGATATCTGTATGAATCCAAAGCAAATCATTCAACAGACAGTAATCAAGTCTGTGCTCCAACCACTGATGCCAAAGAGGCCAAAGTTGATCAGTTCTGTGAAAATCTACAAAATATCCTAGAAATTACACCCCCAAAAAAGATGTCATATTCAACATAGGGGATTGCAATGCTAAAGTAAAAAATCAAAAGATAACTGGAATAACAGGAAAGTTTGACCTTGGAGCACAAAATAAAGCAGGGCAGAGACTAAAGTGCTTTGTCAAGATAACTCACTGGTCACAGCAAACACTTTTCAACAACCCAAAAGGCAACTTTATACATAGACATCACCAGATGGTCAATATAGAAATCAGATTGATTACATACTTTGCAGCCAAAGGTGGAGAAACTCTATACAGTCAGTTAAAACAAGGTTTGGAGCTTACTGTGGCTGATTATGAGCTTCTTATTGCAAAATTCAGTTTTAAATTAAAGAAAGTAGGGAAAATTAAAGAAAGTAGGGAAAACCATATGGGTATGACCTAAATAACTTGCCTTATGAAGTAGAAGTGATGAATAGATTGAAGGGATTAGATCTGATAGAATGCCTGAAGAACTATGGACAGAGGTTAGCAATATTGTACAGGAAGTAGGAACAAAAAACAGTCCAAAGAAAAGAAAAACAAGAAAGCAAAAATGGCTGTCTGATGAAGCTTTACAAATAGCTGAAGAAAGAAGGAAAGCAAAAGGAAAAGGAAAAAAGGAAAGATATACCCAACTGAATGCAGAATTCCAGAGAATAGCAAGGAGAGATAAGAAGGTTTTCTTAAATGAGCAATGCAAAGAAATAGAAGAAAACAATAGAATTGGAAAAATAAGAAATCTCTTCAAGAAAATTAGAGATATCAAGGGAATGTTTCATGCAAAAATGAACATGACAAAAGACAAAAATGTAGGGACTTAACAGAAGCAGAAGAGATTAAGAAGATGTGGAAAGAATACACAGAAGAACCATACAAGAAAGGGTTTAGCATCACTGATGCTACCAACTATGATGGTGTGGTTACTGATCTAGAGGAAGATATCCTGAACAATAAAGTCAAGTGGGCCTTGGGAAGCACTGCTAACAATAAATCTAATGGAATGATGGAATTCTAGCCAAGCTATCTAAAATCCTAAAAGATGGTGGTGTTAAAGTGCTGCAATCAATATGCCAGCAAATTTAAAAAACTCAACAGGGGCCACTGGATTGGAAAAGATCAGTTTATGCCCAATCCGAAAGGAGGAAATTGCCAAGAAATGTTCAAATTACTGAACAACTCCTCTCATTTCACATGCCAGCAAGGTTATGTCTAAGATTCTGCAAGCTAGGTTTCAGTAATATGTAAGCCAAGAATTACCAAAAGAACAGGCTGGCTTTCAAAGAGGCAAAGGAACTAGAAACCAAATTGCCAACATTTGCTGAATTATGAAGAAAGCAAGAAGTTGCAGAAAAACATCTGTTTCTGCTTCATTGACTGCACTAAAGCTTTTAACTGTGTGGTTCATAACAAACTGTGGCAGTTTCTTAAAGAGATGGAAGTACCAGATCATCTTACTTGTCTCCTAAAGAACCAAGAAGTGAGCCAAGAAATAAGAACCAAACATGGAACAATTGATTGGTTTAAGGCTGGAAAAGGAGTATGAGAAGGCTATATATTGTCACAGTAGTTATTTAATTTATATGCAGAGTGCACCATGCAAAATGCAAGGCTAGATGAATCAAAAGCTGAAATTAAGTTGTCAGGAAAAATATCAACAATCTCAGATATGCAGATGATACCACTCTGATGACAGAAAGGGAAGAGGAATAAATAAGCCCCTTGATGAGAATGAAAGAGGAGAGTGTAAAAGCTGACTTGCAACTTAATATAAAAAAAACCCTAAGATCTTTGCAACTGGTCCCATCACTTCCTGGCAAACAGAAGGAGAAGAAATGGAAGCAGCGTCAGATTTTATATTCTTGGGCTCAAAGATCACTGCAGATGATGACTACAGCCGTGTAATTAAAAGATGCTTGCTTCTTGGTAGGAAAACTATGGTGAATCTGTTTAGTATACTAAGCAGCAAAGATATTACCTGACAAAGGTCTGTATGGTCAAAGCTATGGTTTATCCAGTATCAATATATGGCTATAAGGAAAGTTGAGCTCTGCATAATTGATGCTTTCAAATTGTGGTGCTGGAGAAGACTTTTGAGAGTCCTTGGACAGCAAGGAGATCAAATTAGTCAATATTAAAACAAAATAATTCAGGCTATTTACTGGAAGGTCAAATACTGAAGCTGAAGTGTAAATATTTTGGCCACATAACGAGAAAATGGGACTCATTGGAAAAGACCTTGATGTTGGGAAGGATTGAAGGCCAAAGGAAAGGGGAATGGCAGAGGATAAGATGGGTAGATAGTATCATGGAAACAATGAACACGAACTTGGACAGACTTCAAGAGATAATAGAGTATAGAAGGGCCTGGCATACTATGGTCTATGGTGTCAGGAAGAGTCAGACATGACTGAGCAACTGAAGAACAACAACAACATACTAGATAAGTATGCTTTACAAGCTTATTGCCTGTAACCTAAAGCTGGTGTCTTTTCTTTACCATCAACTTAGTTTTATTGAAATGATAAACTGGCATCACTCTCAATTCCCTGTGAAAGCAAAGTTAGACAGCCTCCACCAAGAAAGCTGAGAAAGTTCTCAGGATATGTTGCCACTTGGCCAAATTACCCAGCATTCCAGGGGTAGGTACTCCATCATTCCCTTGAAAAATGCCAGATTATCGCATACGCCACCAGCAGAAAATCAATTCATCCTCTAGGATAGCCAGATCCAAATTTGAGAACTTTTATCACTAATCCACATCACTTCCCTACTGAGACAGAATGTTCCAGTCACCAGACAGGAAACAGCAAGAAACTTTTCAATGACACTTCTTTTTCTTCAGGATCTGCCACGTGTATTCCTATGATTTACAACACAATTTATTTTTAGATGGCGTCCTTCACACCAAATACTGCCACATGTGAGTCAGTTATGAAGGAGGAAGACTTTAAAGTCAATCTGGAAGAGATTTCTATATTCTCTCTCCCTCTCACATTGTGAAAGACTTCACATGGGATGCTCTATAAAAATAAATTGCATCAAGCCCAATACCAGAAAAAAATCTAGATTTAATGAATATTTCATTCAAACAACAGGGAGATGTGAGCTTACCTCATTGCTCGGATGTGGACTATGTGGTCAGCTGCCTCACACACTTGCAAAGCTTCATCCACACTGATGCCCTCCATCCAAACTCCACATATAGACAGGATTTGATCTTTTGGCTGAAGGCTCCCTTCTCTGCTGGCTGGTGAATGTGGCATAATTTCTAGGACATAAATGCCCTGTACATCACCTTCAGCTCTTCCTGTTAACTTCAACCCTGCAATAATCAAATGCAAAAGAAGTGCAATTCAAATTGCAGAGCCACACTATGCCTGAAAGGTACAGAAATGGGCATGTTGGGGAGGACTAAAAGTTCAAAATGGCTCTTCATAAGGAGGAAACCAGATAAGGAACAGGGCAGCATAGAATAGCAACCTTGGGGACACCTCAATGCACTGCAAGCCTTCTTTGATAAGAGCTGAGAATGCTGGTAGGGCATCATTCATTTGCTCAGAGGAGAAAAATTTAGATACTTACTTCTTTCTCAGTGTCTCAATATTTCTCTATACAGCCACCTACTCATTGCCCATGATATCCCCAAGTCCTAGGACACCAGACCCTACTCCACAGTTAAATTTAAGGATACAGTGACCCATTGCTATAGCAAAATAAAATGATAGTGAGAAGAATAATATTTTCATATGTACTAAACCCAAATGGGACCTTTGATTTTCAATTATCCTCAAAACAGTCAAAGGAAATAGTAATGTCCAAGAATGGCTTTATTCACACAATAGGACTTAGGAAGACCTAATGAGAGACGGCCAAGAGAATTTACCAAAAAGACATTTAAGGGACAGGAGTAGGAAGAGGAGCACAAACAGCAGACAGAATGTTGCTGAGAATAAGCAGATCTGGTCATGAGTTGCTTTGAGGACTGCCTTCTCCACTAGAAAGTATATCCTATATAGAAGAAATTGAGTTGCTTCCTATGTCACAGCTGGATTGAGTTTTTAGGACTCATATTCAAACACATGACAGAGAACTCCTTCTAAGACATACTTCCCCTTTCATCTCCTCATTCTCTCCCTACTGTCTCATAAACAATTTTGAAACCTGTCCATTCACTTTACATTTAACATCTCCTTTCTTTTTTCTTCATACGATATAAACTTCCATGCTTCTTCTAGAATACTAAATCTACCTGGACCTCATATTCTTTATGTGTAGAAATAAAGGATCAGACCAGATAGCCACAAAGGTCTGCCCCAGCTCTAATATTCTATGATTATGTGATGCCATATGGTCAAGGGGGTTCATGCCATAGGACTATTCAATTCAATATACCAAACAGTGGGGGGAACTGTCCCTGGTTCTGAGAGAATTACAAAGACATAGCTCTTGCCTTCATGGAGTTTATAATCTAGTAGGGGGGTGGAATATATCTCAATCTAGTAGAGGCTAGTGTAGATAGATAGATAGATAGATAGATAGATAGATAGATAGATAGATAGAGATAGAGATAGAGATAGAGATAGAGATAGAGATAGAGATAGAGATAGAGATAGAGATAGAGATAGAGATGGAGATATATAGATATATACACTATAATACATAGTAGAACATGATAAAGTGCTTTTAAGGTCTGCATATGATAACAGCACATTGCCAAGTACATAGTAGGCCATTAATAAATGCTTATTTATTGATTAATTTCTAATTGAAAGGACCAAGGAAAGCTTCATGGAACCACATAACATTTGCACTGAATCTTAAATGATGGGTAGAATTTCAACAGTGAAAAATCAGGAAAGGGGAAGCATGCAATGGCATAGAAGGAGAGAATGATATCTACAGGAAGTAAACGAGCATTTATTAAATGCCTACCATGTGCCAGGCATCCTGCTAAACACTTTACAAATATCCCATTTCAACTTCACAACAACAGGTAGGTGCTACTATTATCTCATTTTGCAGCTGAAGAAAGTGAGGCAAACAGACATTAAATGGCTTGACCAGGGTCATACAGCTAGTAAATGTCTGAGGCTCAATCTGAACTCAGGTCTTCCTGACTCCAGGCCCAGGTTTTTACCCATTGTGTTGCCTAGAAGTCTACATTCTACCTAGCTGCCTGAAACATGTAAATCACTAGGTTATTATGAAACTCAATGAGATAATACAATTCAAAGTACTGTGCAAACTTTAAAGTGCTTTGAAAAGGCCAATTATCATTAATGTCAGAACCTTAGGTTTCATCTTATGAAACATGAGTTTCATTGATGCTTTTTGTTTTTATGTCACAATCATTTCTAAAGAGACTCCCTTTACAGCCTGCTCCAGATTTGGTACCTTGTTTACAACAAAAATGGTCAATCAGAAACAACTAATACGGTGATTGCTTCTAACAACATCACGCCATTTTGTCTTAGTAGTTCTCCACCTTCCTCCTGTGTTCTTTAGGGTCATTTTTCCAACCCCTCAATTTTACAGAGGAAGAAATTAAGGTCCAGATGGGGTCAAGAGACTTGTCCAAGGTCCTACAGTGTATAATATCTTAAAAGTATCAACTTCAGTGAGTCAATTACCAACTATTTATTGAAAGACAACCACATGAAAAATATTTTACTGAGCATTCATGGAAGCTTTTCAGGATATTAATGGTATTAAGGGACAGGGATTAGTAGGATAATACATGACAGATTCCCTGCCCATAAGTTGCTTAACATGGAGAAGCAAATGTGTAATGTAGAGAGGAGGAAGAGTTAAAAAATATCACTTGTAACTTTTAAGAGACTCATAAAAATCCTGTGCCAAGCTGATAGTTTGGAGGACAAAGGGAGGAGATGTTTTCCTGGCAAGTATGAATATTAGCAAGGAACCTGGAAGTCCAAATGCCACAGCCTAGAGAGAAAATCTTGGGAAGAAAGCCTGGGTTTTCTTTTAAACCCCAATGCAGAAGGGAGGCTGAAGGACTGGCGCTGAGCCTGGCTAGAGATAAATTCATCTACTCAGTCTGAGTTATAGTTGAGGAATTATGAGGAAATCACCCCCAGGAGATCCTTGGGCATACAAGGGAGGGGGAGGGAGGGAAAGCGTTCATCTTGAATTTACATCCATTCATTTCTCTTCCTGAATGAAAATAAACAGCTCAAATTCTCAGCCTCCTGGCAGCCCCAAAGTTGTGATAACGGTGATAGATGTGCTTCATTGCCTCATTCATTAACTGCCCTAACCTTGAAGCCTTGGAAATGGTATACCAAGGAAACAGGTCCTAATCCTGAGAATGCTTGGAACTAGACCCCACAACTTTATAGTTATTACTCCTCTCCATTTTAAAATTGGATCTTTTATCATGTTCTGTTGAAGTCACAATCATTTCCCAGTATGCTTCCCTCTACTGAGCCCTCCCTTCCAGCAAAGAAAAACAGTTAAGAAAAGCTAATTAACAAAGCAACCAGGTTTCAAAACATATATGACGTTCTGTGTCTAGTTTCCTTTCTAAAAAGAGAGGGGATGGCTTTTTTTTTTTTGAGAAATAGGAAACTACAGAAGCCAAGACTTTCATTCCTTACCCCAAAATAATTTGGGTCCTATTTGTTTGAGGAGGGAATGATGGGGATGGGATCTGAACACCTAAAAGGAAAAGACCATATCTTTGGGATCTGGACCCCAAAAAGGAAAAACCCCAGACTTTCCCATCTGGCCAAATCTGAGGCTATAATCTTATCAACTGGCCTTTCTTTGTGGCTATGCCCAATCTCCCAATTCTGTTCCTTTACCTCCCAGTTGCCCCTGGCCACATCCCACCCTTAATCCTACCTAGACTCTATTCTCCTTTGGCCGTGTGGTCCTGGTCCCTGGAGTTCTATGTGCCCCAGCTCACTGGCCACTCCCATCCAGATCCTCCTTAGACCCCTCCTCCAGTCACTCCAAACTACTTGGCCACTCCTAGATCCCCCCCCCCAGTCTTTCTGTATATAGTGTCCATCTTGTCTCTATTAAGGTGCTCAGATTCTTAAAATCTAGCCACAGGCTCAGATTCTTAAGATCTGGCCCACCTGCATTAGTGATACAAATGCTCAGATTCCTTAAGAGTCTGGCCAATATGGAGGATGTTCTAATAAACCTTATCTTTGGCTGGAAAAAAAAATGGGAACTGACAATGGATAAATATCACTGTACTTGTATTAAGACATTCTGACTTTAAGTCCTGTATTTGCCACTTGCTAATTGTGCAAGATAAGCTCCTTAATTGCTCTCTTCAAGCCTTAGTTTACTTATCTATATCATGAAAATGCTGCTACTTGTTCTATTAACCTCTTTTTTTAAGCAATCAGGGTTAAGTGACTTGCCTAGGGTCACACAGCTAGTATCTGAGTCCAGATTTGACCTCAGGTATTACTGAATCCAAGGCTAGTGCTCCATCCACTGGATCACCTAGTTGCCCCTCTATTAACCTCTTAATAATAGGTTACTCTATTATTGTTGTTGTTATTGTTGTTTGTCCTTCATTTTTGAAGAGGACCATGACATTAGGAAGGTGAGGCCATGACTTGCCAGACAATCTATTAACATGGGATCATAATGAAAGACCTATGAAAACCGTGAAGTGATATTAATCAGATGTGAGTTGCTGTAATCATAACTATTGATATTAATAAAATACTAATATGGAGAGGCATGAAGCCAGATGACCTATTGGATTATTCTTCCATCTCTAATATAAAAAACTCAGAAAATCTGAAACTAAAGTATCTAGTGATCAATTTGTCAATTTTTTATGTGTCTACTCTGCTTTTTGCCCCCTATATGAGTACCCTACGGGTTGTTCAGGAAGGACAGAGAGGGCAGAGAAAAACTAAACACCCTTGTCCTTAGGGGAAGAGGGCTAAATGCTTGTGGAAATAGGGATGGAGGGTGGGGAATAAGCATTTATACAACAACTGATGCGTACCAGGAAATGTGCTAGGAGCTTTACATGCATCATTTGATATTTTCAACAACCCTGGCAGGTAGGTGCTGTTATCATTCCTATTTTATAGTAGAAGAAACTAAGCAACCAGAGGTTAAGTGATTTGCCCAGGATCACACAGCTAGTAAGCATCTGAGGCTAAACTAGGTCTTACTTACTCTAGGCCCAGTACTCAATACACTGCAACACTTAGCCATGTGAATGAGTAAAAATCATTTACTCTTTTTGACCACTGTATGCCACTTGGTATTCCACTGAATAATAAAAATAGTAATAATACTAGCTAACATTTGTAAAGCATCTATTAAATTTCAAGGTACAGTGCTAAGCACTTTATAAATATTGTCTCATTTAATTCTCACAACAATCCTGCCAGATAGGTGCTGATTGACAGATGAGGAAACTGAGGCAAATAGAAGTAAAGTGACCTTTCCAAGGTTACACAGCTGGTATCTGAGGCGGAATTTGGGTTCATATCTGTCTGACTCTACCACTTAGTTACATCATTTCTGGAGTAATCTCCAAACAGATGCCAAGAACCAAATCTATTCTCAGCTACTTTCTAACTTAGGATCATGGAGCCATGGAATCACAGGTTTAAAGGACCTTGGAGGTCATTTAGTCCCCATTTTACAGATGAGAAAACTGAGGACTAGCGAAATTCAGCCCAAGGTTATACAAACAGTGACTGATGGAGCCAAGATTTGAAACCAGGCCTTCTGACTGAATTGTTTCTCTCCTATGTCTTCCCTTAAAGAGAAATTCAGCACAGTAGTGACATAACTGACTTTCACATATTTTTCCTAAGGAATAATAAATTATCTCATGTTATTATTAGCTCTTTAAAGTTGAACAGCCAGATGAATTCACTGAGTCACACTTGCCAAAGTTTTCCATTTAGGATTACAGTCGCTGGTGAATTGAGGTCACTGTTCAAAGTTAGTAATAATAGTAATAATATGTAACATTCATTGAATGATTTAAGGTTTACAAAGAACTTTAACAAATTAACTCATTTGAATCTTACAACAACCCCGTCAGGCACTGTTAGTTTATTATCCCCATTTTTTAGATAATGAAAATGAGGCTAAGAGAGGATAGTTGGCTTACCCCTGGCCACAGAACTAATAAGTATGAGAGTCAGGATTCAGACCCTCTTTTACCTCACCCCCAGTGGAACACTACCTGCTATCCCAAACTGTCTCTCTTGATACTTAAAAGGCACAACACAGATGAAGTAAGTGCTTACTTAGCAAGCAGTGCTATGCTCTCCATTAAGGTTCACCTACCAAGCTGCCCATCACTATCTTTCACAAGGGCTATTTCAGGCACATCCTCTGGTCTGAGGAAAACTGAGAGGTCTTCCACGGAGTCAGCCACCCTCTTCAATTCAGAAGAAGCATCAGGCAGGAGGAGCACTTTGCTGTTGTCACAGGAGACCCCATTCTCTCCATTCCCCTAAAATAACAAGCATTTCTTAGAATGATGAGCTATTTCATGCGCTGAAAACATTCTGTTCTCAGGTTCCATAAAACTCAGTGATGGACCTTGGCCTTAGAAACCGATCCAGATTTTGACCACTCTCATCCTCACATATGAGGGCACAACTGTTCTGACTCACTTTCTCAAATAAATCCCAAATGTCTTCCTGCTACATCTACTCTCACTACACAACCTTCTTGTCCTCTCTCCCTGATATTATTCACACCCACAGACTCTACCCTTACACTTGGTCTGCTCTGAATCCCTCATTCTAATCTCACATGAACACACACCCAAAATATATTCTTTCCACAGCTATTTTCTCCCCTTCCATATTATTTATTAGACCATTCTCCCAAACTTCCAATCAGCGTATGTCAAGCCTTGGGGCAACTTTGGTCCTAAATGCCATTCTCTATCCCTCCTCCCCCATGAAGCTACTTCCTCTTTTAGTTGTCCTTATATGGATGGAAGACAAGAAGGAAATCTTCAGGGCACATGGGTGTATTTCTCTTTTCCTCTTACTCATGCCACATCCCAAGCACCTGACAAATGAATTCAGCTAAATGAATAATATATGGAAAATAGGTTACTGCAAAGATCTACATATATTGCAAGGGCTAGATGAATAATTGATACAGCCCAGACGCCTCCCAACTACACCTAAGCTACATCCTGGGTTAATATAATAGACATACAGACCACTCCACCATGTTTTGGACTTATTGGGCCCCCACCCACAGAAGGTGATTGCATACATACATACACTCACGAGACATGTAAAGGCACCCAGGATATTTTTACACACCCTTAAGAACAAGCCAGATCCTTTATATCTTAAGGGCATAGAAAGAGAGAAGGGAACATTATTTCATGCATTAACGAGATTTCACTGTGATAATCTCTTTGAAAAAAGTTACTCCATTATAAAGCATGACAGCTCTATTTAATATTGTGTGTACAAACATAGATATGTGTCTGTGTTTGTTATCTGTATCTAGCTGGTCTGGATCAGTGATTTTATTGGTGTAGGGGATTGGTGATATAGAAATGCCCTCCACCCAACATAGGGAAAAAACTTGCCTACATCTTGGAGTCTTAGAGTTACCGAGGGCACAGAAAGGTTAAATTGTTTGCCCAGGGTCACACAGTTTGATCTACCAAAGGCTAGACTTAAACCTAGGTCTTCTTGACTCTAAGAAGTCCTGTACAGCAAGGTGCCTTTCTTATCTATGTATGGGTTACTTGAGGTTGTAATCCCAGTCATACATTAATTTGACTCCTATTATTGTTTCCCTAGGGCCTCTACCATCCCATTACCACATTGAGACTGTTTTCTCCTTTGGACTTCTAAGTTGTAACAGTCACTTCGGTAAGAAAGACTTCTCTCCATAAGTAGTTCTCTAGTTTGCTTCATGCTGTTGTGAATCCATAATTAATCATTTCAGGCCACGTCAAAGGGACCTGACTTTCCTATCAATGGCAGCCCAGAACATCCAAAGTCTCTGTTTCATCTGCTCCATTAACTTGTTGCTTCATATTTAAGATAAGAACTAGGTCTTTTATGCAGAGAGTGATTTGAATTACAAATCTTTACCCTCCATGTGTGTCTGCCTGCCACAGTCCTTAGAGACTAGCTTAATTATTTGTAGATAGTGGAGCTTCCCAGTTGAGGACTAGAAATATTTAGTACAAATAAAGGAAAGTGGAGTTTGAACAACATCAGAATGAAAAGTAGTATGTTTTAGTCACAGTCTCAAGTGTTAAGCATTTTAGTACACAGTCTTCTAAGGCCAATGTATTTTTTAAAATTTCTTGACAATTCAGTAATTATTTTCTTACTTCATGTAGCAGATTGGAGGCTCTTAACAAACAATTACATGCCTCTTGTTGAACCTATGTCTCTAATTTTCTGTGTTCTTGACCTAACTTGCTATATATGCAGCTTTCTCTCACCTCCTAGTTCCAGATTCTCATCCTTATGTTTTCTTAGCATAACTTCATACTATGAACCTACCCTCTAATCTCTCCTTTAGCTTGAAGAAACCGTATATTATTCTTAACTTGGTTTCCAGCCTGATTAGAATTTACTCCAAAATATGAATTCAGCAGAAAGACCTTGATATCATACCACCTTCCCAAGATATTTCTACCAGTCAATTATCAACATGGAACAGGAAAAAGTAAGCTAGAGGTCAGTGCATGAAATGAGAAGGGTTGCAGAAAAAGGCAACTGACCTCAAGTAAGTCTAATTTCTATGGGAAATCAAACTAGCCTTAGAAGTGAGTATGATCAGGCCAAAGAGAGTACCATTTTGCATATGGATGACCCAACTGATGGGCACTGTGAACTATTAGTGAGAGAAAAAGGGCAACAGAGATGACTGTGAAGAGCGCTAGTGTGTGATTTGAGCTCTGAAGAATCTATCCTCCAATGAGGAATTGCTACCTACCTTGGACAGGTCATCATCTGTTTCTACAGTCTCCTCCAGGTCTTCCCATTCGTCCTCACTATTGCCAGACTCCTCAATAGGCAAAGATACCAAGTGAGGCCTAAATGTGCAAAATGGTGGCTGAAGAGTGGTCCTTGAAGGTACTTCCAACCATCCTCCATAAGAGAGTGGAGTGGCAGATGTAGTACTTATGGTAAGATATTCTTCATCAACAGAGGTGGGAGAAGGAAACTCAGGCAAACAGTACTTGCGATGCTCATCATAGTCACTCCTTTCAAATTCAGGGCTTAAAAAAAAGAAATCTATGTACTTGTCAACATTTTATGACCAACTTCTCACTCTATATTCATATTTTGGCATATTAATCTAAAAAAAAAATGGTTGTGTTAAATGATCTTCTAGCATAAAACTTGAACTACTGCTAGGTGGCGCCATAGTACAGAAAGCACTGGGCTTGGCATCAGGACAACCTCCAAGTTCAAATCCAACCTCAGACATTTGCTAGCTGTGTGACCTAAGGGCAAGTTACTTAACCTCTGTTTTGCCTCAGTTTCCTCAACTGCAAATTTGGGATCATAACAGTACCCACCTCCCAACGTTGAAGTAAATGAGATAATATTTTTTTAATTTTATTAATTTATTTTGATTTATCAAAAATCACTTCCATATGCTTTTGAGTTGAAAATTTTTCTCCCCCTTCCTTCCCCCAACCCTTCCCAAGACGGCACACAATCTGATATAGGTTTTACATTTACATTCCCATTAAACATATTTTCACATTAGTAAAGTTGTAAATAAAAATTAAAACCAATAGGAGGAACCATCAGAAAGATGAAACAAAACTCAACAGAAGGTAAAAATAAGTGATAGCGATTCGACTTCCATAGTTCTTTCTTTGGATGTGGACAGCGTTTTCCATCCCGAGGCCTCTGGAGATGTCTTAGATCCTTGTAATGCTGAGAAGGGTTCAGTTTAACAATATTAGTCATTGCATATGATGTGGCTGTTATTGTGTACAAGGTCCTCTTGGTTCTGCTCACTTCACTCAGCATCAGACCATATAAGTCTTTCCACGTTATTCTTAAGTCAACCTGTTCATCTAAATGAGATAATATTTAAAGAGCCTACTAGCATGGTTCCTGGCATATAGTAGGTGCTATATAAAAGCTAGCTACTTATCATCATCATTATTATTAATTTTGCTTTCTTCTCTTTTGGCACCTGTGGTGACTGAGTCTTTCTGGACTCTCCCCCACTCCTACCCTTCCCAGTTCCTAATACTTCTCTTACCAAAAAAAAAAAATCTATTTTGCATAATGAAAGGCATGACATACTAGAGAGCTGGCTTTGAATCCAGGAAGGCCGGGATTCAAGACCTGCCTGGCCTCAGTCAACCCATCACATTCTCTGAACCAAATTAAAATGTAATTAGGAAATATTTAACAAAATAAAGTACAACAGAACATTTGTTGTTGTTCAGTTATTTCAATCCTGTCCGACTCCTTTTGACAAAGATACTGGAATGATTTGCCATATCCTTCTCCAGCTCATTTTACAGATGAGAAACTGAGGCAAACAGGGTTAAGTGACTTGCTCAGGATCACACAGCTAGTAAGTGAGGCCAGATTTGAAGTCAGGTCCTCCTGACTCTAGGCCCTGGGCTCTATCCACTGTACCACCAAGCTACCCTTAATAATACAACATAGGTAATGTTATTATATGACTTTCTGAGTCTATATAAAGCCCTCAGGGCTCCTTATACACAGATCAGTGGCTCTGTTTCTCTAAGTTTGACACCACTACTTCAGGTAACACTCTAAGATCACAAATTGAAGTGAAGGTACCAATCTACATAAGTGGAGAGAGTCTCAGGAGTTCCCTAGACCAATGAAATCACAGGTCCAGCCCCTATCTCTTCCTTTACTTTTTTTTTAATTTTTCTATTCTTCCTTGTATATATCAATACACGTATATATTTTCTCCCCTCATAGGGAAGGGGTACTGTTTCACCTTTGCTAGGAACAATACCTGACCCACAGTAATAACTGAATAAATGTCTTTATTAATTGATTTGGGAGTTTTAATAATAATAATTAGCACTTACATAGCATTTTCAAGTTTGCAATACACATTTACATGTTATATCATTTGAACTTCACAACTCCCTCCTGTGAGATAAATGCCATAGATTTTATTATCCTCATTTTGCAAATGAAGAAACTGAAGCACAGAGCAGTTAAGTGACTTATCTGTGGTCACATAGCTAGCAACTGTCAGATGCAAGGGTTGTACCCAGGTCCTCCTGATTCCAAGCTTAACATTCAACCCACACTGCACTGTGTTCATGGAAAGGAATAGAACTTTAAGGATACCAAGAGTTTTGCTACCAATACAAGAAAATAAAGGATCTCAAACCTCTTTATACAACAATATTTTTTTCTCAAAACTCTCCAAGATCCCTTATGGAGAAGACTGTGGGTGAGTTCAACCCTATGAAATAAAGGCCAGCATTTGAAAAACAATAACTCCTTCTGAGAAATGCAACAGGAAGATTGTTCCGTGGAGACTCAATTGTGTGGTGAGAGCTGAAAGATGAATACAAGCAGAAGAGCCCAATGGAGAGGTTTCCTGGGATTCCTTTTATTTAAAAATATGGTCTCTACTGACAACACAAGACAGCGTCGTTAGTGGTGGCAAAAAGAAAACATCTCAGAGAAAAACAAAGAGACTTGACTCAAAAATCAGAAATAAACTGATTATTCATTACAGCTCTTTCCAATTGCTGGAAATTACTTCATTTGAAGGCAGCTAGGTGACTTAGTGTATCTGAAGTCAGGAAGACTGGTATTCAAATCTGGTCCCAGATACTTACTAGCTGCGTGACTCTGGGCAAGTCACTTAACCCTGTTTGCCTCAGTTTCCTCATCTGTAAAATAAGCTGGACAATGAAATGGCAAACCACTCCAGTATCTGCCAAGAAAACCCCAGGTAGGGTCACAAAGAGTTGTACATGACTGAAATGACTCAACAACAGTGAATTTGAATAACTTTATTTTTTTTCTATTTATAACTTTCCTATATATAACTTTCCTTCCCCTTAACCCTCAGCTATTGTATTCTAAATTCATCCCCAGATTATTTCTCTTTGTCATAGCCCCTCACAAAGCCATCAAGTCTTTCATGAACTAAGCTCTTTGAAGTCAGGTACTGATTTTTTTTCTTTGTATCTTCAGTACCTAGGGCACTGCCTTGAATGCAGTAGGTCTTTAATAAATATTGAATCCAATTGATTTGAAATTAATTGAATTTATTTTTGCAGCCCCAGTACCAAAGCCCATTGGTATGGGAAGCTGTCCTTACTAGTGGAGATTGATGCCTTATACTCACATAAGAGGGCAGGGCAGAGTTGGTAAGAGCCCAGGGCATTAATCTCCCCTAGGGAGGAGAGAATCCTACACCAATCGGCTTTGGGACTTGGGTTACCCTCCTCCCCAAGTCTTTACACAATTTCCATGGAAGGAAGATAGTACTATCTTTCCAGACCTCCCAAGTTCAATCTGACATCATGAGCAAGCCTTTGTCTTTTTTCTAACTTTGTAATGACTTATTATTAATGAAATCGAGCATCAGTACAATTAAATTTTCCTTGCAGTTTTACATTTAAATATAGGAAATTCAATGACTAATGTTGATAGACTTAGCCCTTCTCAGCAATGCAAGATCTAAGACATCTCCAAAGGTCTCATGATAGAAAATGTTGTCCACATACAAAGAAAGAACTATGGAGTTTGAATGCAGATCAAAGCATACTATTTGCTCTTTTTTTCTTCTGTTTTGTTTTGTTTCCTCTTTCTGATGGTTCCTCCTATTGGTTCTAATTCTTCCTTACAATATCACTAATGTGAAAATACGTTTAATAGGAATGTATATGTGTATAGCCCATATCAGATTGAGAGCCATCTTGGGGAAGAAGGGAGGGAGAGAAGGGGAGAAAAATTTAAGACTCAAAACTTATGGAAGTGATTGTTGATGAATCAAAATAAATTAATTTTAAAAAAGTCAAAAAATTTAAAAAAATGAATTGTGCAACATTGGATAGCTACTAAATGGTTGAGCTGAAGGATAATCCCAGGTCTTTAGACATAAGAGCTTCCATCTTTTAGTGGCATTGAGTTGCCATGGGTTTCTGCACACATCACATGTAGAAAGGGTAAGTTATACTGGCTACTTACTCTGTTCACATAATATATTACTAAGAACAGTACAGCTAGGACCAAATTAGTGTGAATAAGGAATCCCCTAAAGTGATTGCATTATTCAAATTCACACTGCATATTGGGCTTGAACCAATTGCCATATTTTATATAGTCATAACTTTGAATAGTGTGAAATTGGAGGACATGTGACCACTTTAGGGGATTCATTATTCAAACTAATCAGGACCAGCCTACAGAAAACTCTTTTCAATGATACTTTTAACTGGGGTAGAAAAAGAGTAAACTCCCCAAAGTTCTGTTCTGATGCTTCATCACAGTGAGGAGCTGAGCTTGGGTTCTTGATAATAACAATGAGAATAGCTAGCATTTATATGGCACTTTAAAGTTGAGAAAGTATTTTATATGGTATCTTATCAGATCCTCATAGAAACCTCATGAAGTGGGTGCTATTTTTAGCCCCATTTTACTGACAGAGAAACTAAGCTTGAGAGGTTAGGTGACTTATCTGGGGTCAATTGGTCAGTCCCTAAACATTTATTAAGCATCTTCTACATGTCAGGCACTGTGCTAAGCACTGAAGATACCAAAAAAAAAGGGAGGGGGGGCTGGACAGTCCATGCCCTCAAGGAGCTTACAATTTAATGGGGGAGACAACAAGCAAAAAACAAAGTACAAGCAAGCTATGTACAGGATAAATAGGAAATAATTAAGGGAGAAGGCTCTAGAATTAAGGGGGATTTGAAAGGCTGCCTGTAGAAGATGGGATTTTAACTAGAACTTGAAGGAAACCAGGAGGTAGAGATGAGGATGGAGAGTATTCCAAGCACGGGGAACATCCAGTGATAACACCTGGAGTAGGGAAATGGAATATCTTGTTTGGGGAAAAGCAAGGAAGTCAGTGTTACTAGATCAAACAGTATGGAGGGGGAAGAGTATAAGGTACAAGAAGACTGGAAAGGTGGGGTGGGAATAGGTTATGAAGGGTGTTGAATGTCAAACAAAGGATTTTATATTTAATCCTTGAGGTGACAGGGAATCACTGGAGTTCATTGAATAGGAGGGTGACATG